AGCTGGCCAATAATGTAAATAATGTGCATATCACCCTTCTGGGAGTGGAACCATGCACATAAGGTGTATGGAACCCTGGGGACTGGTCAGTTTTGCCTCTTACTCAGTTTAAAATGAGCCATCCCAGAAGCAGAAAGGGGGCAATCTCACTACCGTCAAGAAAGAAGAGCCGAGAATGGAGCTCATCCTTTGGACCCGAGAGCCCTGCGCTGAATCTCCTCAACACGGGAAACAGAGAGAGCTGTAACACTTTCCTGAGATGCCAAGAGATAGTGAGAAGCAGCGGCAGAGAAATGGAACTGTGGCAGCAGCAGGAGACCCGGCAGGAGACAGCACAGTGGCTTGGAGACCCACAGAGCAAGAAAGCTGAGGGCCTTCAGGCCAGAGCCCTGCTGGCCGAGTGGGGTGCCTCCAGGCACGTGCTCAAGCTAATTTCGCCCAGCTAGAGCTGAGCCCGTTGGCTGAGTCTTACTAGCAGAGTGGGGTGCTTCTAAACATTTACTGGTGGAGCTAAAAAACTTCGTAACACTTGCCTGAGCAAGACAGAGGCCTAGGGACTGCAGGCCAGAAGGCTGAGGGCCAGGGAGAGGCATGACTGTGGGCTCTGCTGAGAAGAGGCCACCTTAATCAAAGAACTGTATCCTGAGTCAGTTCTGATCCTGAACTGTAACCTGTTACTTCCCTAATAAACCCCATAATCATGAGTGTTGCCTGTGAATTTTGCGTGGCCACTGCAATGAATTCTTAAACCCACTAGAGAAGTAAAGAGTGGTGTGGGAAGGACGGCTGGTGTCAGAATTGGTTAAAAGTTTGGAGGGTGGCAGCGTGGCTGACCTCTGCCTCATAGGAATCAGCCTTGGGTGCTATTAAGGATCCTCTTCCCCACTTGGGAAGTTAGAGAGGGTCAGATGCCTCTCCCACATCATTTTTGCAGCTTCTGTGGAGAGCCCTTGCAAGGAGCCCTCAGCCGGGAGTCAGGAGAACCAGAGAGGGGAGCATAGTCTTAGTCCTGACACCAACTCACTGTGTCACGTTGGGCCAGCTGCTTGACCTCTCTGGCCCCAGTTCCTCCTTCTGTCAAATGTGCATGAATCGCACAGTGCTATGAAAAGCCCAAGAGAAGCATACCTGTGGGTCCCTGCTGCAGAGCCTGGGACCGTGAGAGTGTCGGATTTGGCAGGAGAAGGTGGCACCGGGACGGGAGAGGGTGGATGTTCCTCCACAATGAGCGGGAGGCTGTCTGCATCAGCGTCTTCCACCTGCACCTCTGGGTGCTCTTTCGTGGCAGGCACTTGGGGAGAGGAAGGAGAGGAGACAGTCAGAAAAGGAAAAGCCAGGTCCCAGGAGCCTTGCTGTGCTCTTGAAGAAAGCCACAATAAGCATGTTCAGAGGCGCCTCCAGCAGCCCCACCTTCCAACAGGCCCCAAAGGAAAGCTCCATGCAAGAGATGCAAG